TCGCAATGGTGACTCCACGCCGTGCTCTAAAGGACAGGTGAGGACTCCCTGTCACATTCTGTTTTACACTTGGACAGGAGGAGTGGCATATACAGGAGCCAATCCTCTCCATTTTCCTCCTGCAACCGCTGAAAGCCTGCTCTTCCTCCCCTCCCTGTCACTGGCATTTAGCGGCTACAGAAAAAATGTTGATTACGATATTCAAAATAAAAAAATTCAAAATTCTGAACCATTTCATGTCATTGTGGCCAGTGACCGGTTACCAAATCACATAAGTGATCCTCGCTCTTCAAAAGTTTGAGCACTCATGCCTTACTATATTTATTGCAATATGTTACCATTTCATATGTAGTGCATTTGTCATAATAATGAAAAATATTAATGCAAAAAGAATCAGCATATTATCCAAGAGTCAAATACTACCTCACCGCTCTCATCTGAATAAAATGAAAGGATCCAAATCAATTTGATTCATTTGTTATGTCGTTACATTATCTCTGATGCTTCAAACATTAACAAAAGGCCCAGGCTATTGCATCATGTCATCCGATTGAAACAAATGAATACAAATGAATTTGTTGTTTTTGTTATAATTTATTTTGGATTTGTTGAAATTCGCAACAATCATGATATCATGATTTATTCCCCTACCCAGCCAGCATCTGTGCTCTCTCTCCCAGGGATTGGCTAAAACTGTATAAATATTCATGCTGCCCATTTGCCTTGCTCCACAGTTATGTTCCACATAGACATTAAAAATACACTTTAATGAATTTTACTGTACACAAACACAACATAATACCCATTTTTTGGTAAAATATAAAAGATGATGTTGCACCAAGTAAATAGATACCAAACATGTCACGCTTTAAAACTGTACAATATTGCGGTACAATAAATTATATATAGGCAATGCTTTAAAAGCATTTACAGGTTTCCAGTTACATAGGAGGTCTAGTGCTAGGATTACTGCTCTCACTCTGATGTTCGTGGTGATACCTCACTTGTTTGGTATGATCGTTGTTTATATTAACGTGCGGGGGGACCGACTCGTGCCAGGATTTTGTTCTGAGTTTGGAAGAAGACATTTGTTCCTATAGTACAGCTATAGTAAGCGTGTCCTCCTGTTCATACATAGTTCTGGAGTACCCCATACAATTCCCTATACCTACTCAAGTTACCCCAAAAAAGTAAATACCCCTAGACTGTTCATTGAGCCGAAAGGAGAGACTGTTGCTGTTTGCCTGGCTGCCTCTGCATTAATCTGGAAAGAAGAACCTTAGGACCAAATCAGCAGGCCCTTTAGGGGATACATCTATAAGTGAGTCATGTCAACGTTTAAACAGTGTCACTATCGGAAAATTCCCCCTCTGTTCCTGTTCTGGTGACAACTGAAATTTTCTCTCTTTTATTCCTAGTGATATTTATCCCCAAGTTAACTTTTCTAGATACAGAAAGGAAAACGTTGATGACTCATCACATGACGCAAAACTAAAGAAAAAAAGGTTTGGTTTTATTTTTTTTATATCTTTTATTACATTTTATTTCAATACATAAGTCAGCAATATACAATTATCAAAACTCAAACAATCCAACTAACTTTTTTACCCCTCCTTCCATCCTTCCTTATCCCTCCCTCTCTAATAAATTACCCGTCCAAATACTTCTTTCCATTTCTTTCCTGACCTGGTTACTAATCACAGTTTTCATAATGCGTCTATGTGCGTTTGTGTTTAGAAGCGTTTTTTAAAGATAAGCACAAGAGAACCTCCCAAATGCCCAGAATGCACTGAAAAGTGGTAAATTATTAACTATTTCAGACTGTTTCAGAGAAATACACACAGTAGAAGCTGAGACAGCAGTATGTGTTGAGATAATTAGGTGTGAGTTGCTCAGTAACCTCCCTGGCGGTATTCCCGAGTGTAGCTCGGGGTAAAGTTTCAGTACCACAAGCGGTAACCCCGAGCTACACTTGGGCTTACCATGCGGCGCTGCTCCGGGATCTGTTCTTTTACCTTGTCCTGCGCTCCCCCGCGATGTCCCTCCTGCAGTGTCCCCTGTAATGTCCTCCGTCCGATGCCGCATCTGTCTTCAGGGTTCCGTTCCCTGCGAGCGTCGGGACATACGGGGGACGGAATGGCGGGAAATTTGAAAATGACAAAAAGTGACATTCACTAAATACACTAAAATCACATAGTAAAACATTCCTGTATCAAACCATTTCACATACATTTTGTCCCGAGTGCTTTGTCCGGCGCCCTGCCTGCATTTTTACTGTTCTTTCTGCCTGGAAACTGAGAAATGTCCATGGCGTCCAAAAAGCATCCCTTTAGGTCAAAATCAGTTTTAGACCGGCTAGAGAACAGCGATAGTAAATCAGAACCACTTGCAGAATTGAGTGATAATGATTCGTGGGGAAATTCCTCATCAGACACTGAAAACGATTTTGCGACTTTGCTCAGCAATGTGCGAACTTGGAGCTATATTTCAAATTTCAGTGTTTTTGGTTTGATTATATTATTGAATTAAAATTATTATTATATTATTATTTTTTATGATTATTTATTAATTATAATTTATGATTTTGTGTTTCAAGTTTTATCCTACCCGGGATGTTTACTAGACTCTTGTTCGGACAGATTTCAGTGAGTTATTCCTAAAAATTACAGGCCTACAATAAAAAAAATACATATTTCCATGCAAAAAAAAATGTACCGCTTTGAGCACAGAAATATGGACATAATCAGACTGCTAGGGAAGTTAACATTTCTTTTGTTTCCAAGGGTGGGAAAGGTGTCTGGTGGAGGGAGTCATTAAGGTCACCTGGCAGGGGGTCTTCATGAGGAATTTGAGGTGTGAATGGTCATTAACATATCTTTTGTTTCCAAGGGTGGGAGGGGTCTGAGGTGTGAATTGGTCATTGCAATGTATAACAAGCTTGGTAGGAACATCCTGTGTTCAGTGTTTTGTCCATCTGAGCACTTTGAAAACTCTTTCATGCATTTTGCATGATGAAAAAAGGCTCTGGACAGCATTGGGAACTCGAAAAGTAAAAAAAAAGTTTCAAACGCGATTTGCCGCGTTTAGACACGTTTAGCCGCGTTTACAAGCATTTTTCATTTGAAACGCTGATAAAATCGACGTCTGAACGCAAGTTTGTTGCGTTCAAAAAAACTAATGTAAACTCAACTGCCTGTAAACGACTGTAAACGAGGAAGTGTACATGAACACATAGGAGAACATTAGGCTGAGTTCAGGGGCTGCTGAAAAAAACACTGAACAGCTCCTAAATGTGGGTTTATCAGCTGCAGTATACATGAGCCCTAAGCCCTATATGCACTTTTCACTTTACGACTATCCATTTATTCAGTTTGGTTCTCCAGCTCTACTACCGGGACACCCATTATTTCAAAATATTTTTCGGATGTCTTAAAATCAAACCACCTAATCCAATCCTTTCTGATTTTTTCCACTCTATCTTCATCTATATGGTATAGCTCCTCCATCTTATTTATATACTCAGTCCTATCTATCCAATCCCTCGGTGTTGGAGGGTCCCGTGCCTGCCAAAATTTGGGGATTAGACCTTTTGCAGAATAGATGATATAAGAAACGATTTTTGTATTGTTTCACTGGCACCTCTGTCCTATAAAATAGACACACCCACGGATCTTTTTGAATAGTTATCCCCAAAATCTCCTGTATATATTGAATTATATCTTACCAATACCCCTGAATTTTTTTAACATATGGTGGGAGTGTGAAAAAATTCAGGGGTATTGGCAAGATGTAATTCAATATATACAGGAGATTCCCCTGAATTTTTTAACACTCCCACCATATGTGAGCCACATATGTCTGCATCCACTAAATAGGTACTTAAAACCAAACCTTTTTTTCAATGGCTCAAAAAAAGGTTTGGTTTGAAATACATATTTTGTGGATACAGACAAGCAGATTTCATGATAACTAGTTCTAACCAGCCTCCAAATAATCACTGCATACCATACTACTATCTTCAAGTACTGGATATTTCTTACATAGCAAAGTGAACTGTAAACCCATTCATTTTTTTTTTTTTTTTAGCACGTGGTGATTGGGGTTTGTCATGTCAAGTCTTACACAATACAGCTGTTGTAATATTACAGCCGGCGGCATTGCTTATAATTGCTGAATAGTGAGCAAACTGGTCTTAGATGGTTCTTTGGTGCCTGAGGACATGCATATAGCTTCCTGATACATACAATAATTCACCTCTCGTGTTTTCCTTACTCTGATCCTGCAGGGATGGGTTGTTCTGTTAGGCTTGGTCCACACCTTTGCAATTTGTAGGTTTGCTGAAGCGCAATAATGCACAACAATCCATTTTACATTGTTTTCTATGGTACCCGTTCACATGAATGCATTTTCCGGCAGTACGTTTTTGGAAGAGTTGCTGGCACTTCGTTTGGTGCAGGAAGGTTCGATTTAACCTCCCTAGCGGTCTGATGATGTCCATATTTCTGTGCTCAAAGCGGTACATTTTTTTGCATGGAAATATGTAGTTTTTTTTATTGTAGGCCTGTAATTTTTAGGAATAACTCACTGAAATCTGTCCGAACAAGAGTCTAGTAAACATCCCGGGTAGGATAAAATTTGAAACACGAAATCATAAATTATAATTTATTAAATAATCATAAAAAATAATATAATAATAATAAATTTAATTCAATAATATAATAAAACCAAAAACACTGAAATTTGAAATATAGCGCCAAGTTCGCACATCACTGAGCAAAGTCGCAAAATCGTTTTCAGTGTCTGATGACGAATTTCCCCCACGAATCATTATCACTTAATTCTGCAAGTGGTTCTGATTTACTATCGCTGTTCTCTAGCCGGTCTAAAACCGCTTTTGACCTAAAGGGACACTTTTTGGATGCCATGGACGTTTCTCAGTTTCCAGGCAGAAAGAACAGTAAAAATGTAGGCAGGGCACAGGACAAAGCACTCGGGACAAAATGTATGTGAAATGGGTTGATACAGGAATGTTATACTATGTGATTTTTTACTATATTTAGTGAATGTCACTTTTTCACATTTTTAAATTTCCCGCCAGTTCCGTCCCCGTACGTCCCGACGTCGCAGGGAAGGGAACCCAAAAGACGGATGCCGGCTTTGCCCAGAGGACATTGCCAGGGTCGCTGCAGGAGGGACATCGCGGGAGCGCAGGACAAGGTAAGTAAAGAAGAGATCCCGGAGCAACGCTGCATGGTATTCCCGAGTGTAGCTCGGAGTTACCGCTTGTGGTGCTGAAACTTTACCCTGAGCTACACTCGGGAATACCTCCAGGGAGGTTAATGCCCCATACACATTATAAGAAAATCATACAAAAAATTTAGCGGAACCACTGATCGAACGATTTTTTCTTCGTTGACGAGCAGGATGTTTTAACCAATAACGATATTGTGAATGAAAAAAATCCTGCTGAACAACAGTAAAAAATGTTGTAGTTTTGCATACGAATGACTGATTTTCTATGTGGTGGTATGACGGTCGTATGAAAAAAATCTATCAAGCGCTATCACGCATGAGCGGAAGCAGAAGATGACCCGGATGTTTATGTCCAAGGAATCTTCGTAAACACGAACGAAAAACCCAAATGTTAAAAGTAGATCGGCCTAATGAGATGATGAAACCAGAATTGTGCAGATTATATTTATGCATCACTATTTATGTATATAGGTCATGGGATAAATGATATTATACTCATTGCTGGTAATTGTTGTGTATATTGCTCGTTCTGGCCGGAAGGTCGTGGCTACAAGGTCACATGCACATCGCATCACTTCCACTTGTACGGAAGATGTCAACACTACGTATTGCCGATTTTTTTTAGATTGGTTAATGTGGGCCATGATTTCGACCAACCAATGAATGCCTCTCAGTCATCAGACGACTGATCGGTTTTCTAATCGTGTATTCCCACCTTTAGTCCCATAGATTTCAATGGGCCTTCTCCTCTTAGAAAAAAAAGCATAAAGCATGAAACTGCATAAAGAACACTTGAAAACATGTAAACACATAAAAAACTGCATGGAGAAGCACATGCACAGGTGTAAACCTAGCCTCAATCAACACAGGGTAATGTTAGGGGTAGGCATGGACACATGGTTTGTGAGAGTCTCCGGTACTCCTTTGCAGGTTAGAAACTTCAGTAAAATAAATGGGTGAACTTTTATCTATATCCTTGAAACATAACAAGTGCTAAAGTCAGATCAGCAGGTCTCAGCCATAAACCATGGGCTGGGCCGGGACAAAATCCTGCTGTGTCCAACTACAGCACAGATCAGCAACCCCAAACCCCAAACCAAACGATTATTTACATTGCTGAGCCTGCAGCTGCCATCGGGTCACAGTAAATCTATCAAAATCACAAAAATTTGGGCTCACAAGGTAAACTTAGCCATTTTCAAGACGTTTGTTGATGTCTGCTTCTCAGTGTTAGGATGAAATACAAAGGGATGGCACTGAGAGGCAGACCTATCAAACTTCTTCTTAAAGCTGCCCGCTTTGACATCAATATTTTTGCTGATTTTGCCTATATTTCAATTTTTGGGATACAACATTATATTGTACAATCTATCTAGGTACTCCTACCAGGACTTGAACCCATACAGATGATCATATAACATCTCGTAATTCCAACACCTTAACCTCTCAGCCATTCTGGTCAACCTACTACACCTTATGGAGCATCATTGTGACAATGAAGGACTATTCTAGAAGAATTGTCTCATCAATAACCCCCCAGCCTGTGTCAGGGCAGCAAAGATAACCACCAGCAATAACTTTGAAGGAAACTTATCAGTACAGAGACACTATTGCCTCATGACAATCAAAACAACAGCTTCTGATACAGTGCACATACACCCACCCAGCATCTGGGTTACAATGAACCACCCCTGGCAGCACTAATAACCCCTATAAATAATATTAATAAAACAGTAAGCCTGCACCCTATGAGTAAGTGCTTTGCACGAAATGCGTTGGGGGGGCTACAGCATCCAGACATCACGCCACCGCTGGTGGCCATCCTGAATTCATATGAGGTGACTCGATGCTGTGATACCTGCCAAAGGACTCAGAGGTGATTAGGAGCCTGACCTGATGTTGGAGCAGTTGACCTGACTTGACCTGATGAGATACCATTAATCTCAAATGCGTGTTTAAAGCGCGCTTCTGGTGAGTGCGCCTTTCACTTATTAAGTCACATCATCTGTCACTGCTGGATAAAAAATTCAAGCACTTTTTATTATGATGTGATGAGATCCTCACATTCTAATTTTTGGACTATCACTAATACCACCACCGTGTGGCTACGATTACTTTGCACTTTATTTATGTATATATTTTATTCGATACACCTTGCCATTTTTTTTTACTTCATTAGTCTGTATGTTATTTTGATATAAGCGCTGCACCTTTTTTGTTACTATTTGCATTCGGAGGTTTGTGGTTGGCTTTTTTGGTGTCCTAGCTGCTATTGTTGTGTGTGTAGCGCTCGCTGTTATTCTTTTCTTAACATATCCTAACAATTATAACTTTACTATTCTCAGAAATTGCATTCCTTTGCAATACTAACCCTCAGCAATATTAACTCCCACTGTCCCCAGTTATAATATAAAAGGAGTAATACCAACCTCCGGCAGCAATTAGGTCCAAAAACTCTCCACATGAAAACAATTCACCCAGTGGAGTTTAAGTCCAACGCCTTAACCACTCGGCCATTACTGTGTTAGGGACACTGGTGCCTCCCAACAGCCTTAACCACTCGGCCATTACTGTGTTAGTGACACTGGTGCCTCCCAACAGCCTTAACCACTCGGCCATTACTGTGTTAGGGACACTGGTGCCTCCCAACGGCCTTAACCACTCGGCCATTACTGTGTTAGGGACATTGGTGCCTCCCAACGGCCTTAACCACTCGGCCATTACTGTGTTAGGGACACTGGTGCCTCCCAACGGCCTTAACCACTCGGCCATTACTGTGTTAGGGACACTGGTGCCTCCCAACAGCCTTAACCACTCGGCCATTGCTGTGTTAGGGACACTGGTGCCTCCCAACAGCCTTAAGCACTTGGCCATTACTGTGTTAGGGACACTGGTGCCTCCCAACAGCCCAAATTCAACTTCAGATAAAGCACAAGCATACACCCTCAACACTGGGGTTCACCCCTGCGTCCCTTTTCCGAAGCCAGGACCAAGACCTTACTCCCAAATATTTGTCAATTTTTCCACTTTTAGGGGATACATTATAAATAAAGTGATATACACTCACTGGCCACTTTAATAGGTATACCTTGCTAGTACCATTATCCGGGTTGGATCCCTTTTTGCCTTCAGAACGTCCTTGATTCTTTGGCTGCACATCCATGAACTGTTGATACAAGGCAGGATGGATCCATGCTTTCATGTTGTTTACTCCAAATTCTTGTGACCACAATAGATCACAACTGTAAAATGGACTCACACACAAGGTAATATAAACTAATATGAACTTTACACTCACCGGCCACTTTATTGGGTACATCTTGCTAGTGCCGAGTTGGAGTTGGGGCATTATCCTGCTGGAAGTAGCCATCAGAAGATGGGGGCACTGGAGTCATAAAGGGATGGACGTGGTCACCTACAATACTCAGGTAGGCCGTGACATTTAAACAATGCTCAGTTGGTACTAAGGGGCCCAATGTGTGCCAACAAAATATCCCCCACACCATTACACCACCACCAGCCTGAACAGCTGATACAAGGCAGGATGGATCCATGGTTTCATGTTGTTTACGCCAAATTCTGACCCTACCATCTGAATGTTGCAGCTGAAATCCAGACTCATCAGACCAGGCAATGTTTTTCCAATCTTTTATTGTCCAATTTTGGTGAGTCTGTGCGAATTGTAGCCTGGCAGCAGTGGCACCGGTGTGGTCTTCTTCCCCTGTAGCCCATCTGCTTCAAGGTTCGATGTGTTGTGCATTCAGAGATGATATTCTGCATACCTTGGTTGTAACAAGTGGTTATTTGAGTTGCTGTTGCCTTTCTATCATCTCAAACAAGTCTGCCCATCCTCCTCTGACATCAACAAGGCATTTCCATTCACACAACTGCCACTCTCTGGATATTTTCTTTTTTTCTGACCGTTCCTTGTAAACCCTAGAGATGGTTGTGCATGAAAATCCCAGTTTTTGAAATACCCAGACCAGCCCATCTGGCACCAACAACCATGCCATGTTCAAAGTCACTTAAATCCCCTTTCTTCCTCATTCTGATGCTTGGTTTGAACCTCAGCAAGTCATCTTCACCACGTCTAGATGCCATGTGATTGCCTGATTAGCAGTTTGTGTTACCAAGCAATTGAACAGGTGTACCTAATAAAGTAGCCGATGCGTGTAAACAATCTGTTCTAACATACTGTAACTTCAAAACAATGGTGCTGTCTTATGCTTTTACTAGGAGTGGGAATTGAACCCACATGGACATTCTGCCAAGGGATCAGGAATCTAACACCTTACTCACTCAGCCATCCTGGTCACACCACCAACTACATGCATGGGAGGATCACTGACAATGAAGTATTAATGTTTGTATAATTACCTGCGCAGTGATAAAAATCTGTCCAATGAGAGTAATATGGCATTAGAAGAACTGCTGACTTGTTGTCCTGCTACCTTACTTAGTGGGTGACAGACCAAAAACAAGTGTGCATGTTGGGAGTTTAGAGTTTCTTCATTGGCTGCATGCTTCTTCTGAGTTTGGACCACGATCATAGCTCCTGGCATTACTGGCCTTAAACTTAAAGTGTATGTCAAGGCAAAGTTAAATATATATTTGTATTACGTCCAACACCTTAACCACTATGTCATCCTGGTCACAGTATTATAAAAATAATCCCCCTGCGCTCCACTGGTATGAACAAACAAAACCCCAAATATATGCAAGCTGCTACCACCTATTCCCATTACCCCAGGATGTATAACGTAAAAAACCAATGTTGGTGAAGCGCTTCACATAAAGAACTAAATATATAAAGTACAATGATATAAAATGCATATAAAGTGACCACGCTGTATTGAAAGATATAAATGACTAGTGCTAAGTATTCCCCCCAAAAAATATATAAGGCTATGTTCACACTAGCGTTGTGTGAAGGCGGCAGAGAGGCGTTTTTTTAACCAAAAACATGTAGCAGTATACATTTTGGCCTAAATTTATGACGAAATTTTAGTTTTTTTTGGGATATTTTTTATGACCGAAATGAGAAAATATTTTTTTTTTTTTAATTTTCTTCAAAAACTTTTTTG